GATCGTCGTCGGATCCCCCCCCCCCCGCCCTTTGCCCCGCCCCGCCCCCACTCCACCCCATGCAATGCAGAAAGGGGGTCTACCAAGAGAGGCTGTCTGGGTGGAGAGCCGGTGTTGTTGCACATGACCTCGAAACTGTCACGTGTCGCCTATCAGCTGGGAGCGGGACAGGCCATGATGACTTGGTGGATGGCAAGAGATGCAAGCGCTGTGTGGCTCCAAGCGGGGAAAGACAGCAAAGCTTCCCAGGTATGCCTGGCAAACCTGTAGCCAGGCTTCGTCTGGTGGCATGGCCACTGCTCGTCGGAGACACAGAACTCAGAATGAACTCGCAGAGACATCCTCGGATCATCTCAGGCTTGTTGCAGGAAGACTCGGCCAGGGAAGAGGCAGGCGCTGCCAAAGCAGTGGATCTCGAAGAGCGGATGTCATTCTCAGGGCGAGGAGACTCTGGGAGCCCTGCTCTTCTCGGAGCGTCTTCACCGACGGTCCGGGTGTCAGTGGGTCTCGGGTCTCACGCAAAAAGACCTTGCGCACCCCGACCTAGGTTTCCCTACACATCCTTTTATGGTCCCTGCCTGAGACTGCAGCGCGGCCCCGTGCATGTTCAGCTGCAGTCAGGTAGAGACGACTACGCTGTGGGAGGCACTCCATCCGAGGTCGGGGAGTTAAGAGCAACGCCGTCAGTGTTCTCTTTTGCCGGGCTTGGGAGGCGAGTGCACCGGGTGCCGAGTTCGAGCGGCTGCAGCAGGCCAGAGTGTTTTGTCTGTTGAAACTGGTCTTCCTCAAAGCTCGCAAAGCTCGCAGCTGAGCCACCAGAATGACAGGCTTTGCAGCAGAACCTTGAGGCTCTGCAGGCACAGGGGCGCCGGGATGTGTGCCCGTGTGTTGCTTCGCTGCAAGTATTCAAGAAGAATTTCTGCGCAAGGACCTGCGATCCAAGTTAGCTCCCTACCAGGCGGGCTTTCCCCCTTGCCAGCGCATTCGGTGCACAAAGCAGCCGGCAGATCTGAGACCGGCAGGATGCCTCGCGCAACTCGGGTTTGCTGTGGCGCTGGGCCGACGTCGTCGCGGTGGCCTCGCGCTTCCGGGAGGCTCTGCGGTTGCCGTCGAAGGCCAGCAGGCGGAAGTGGCTATCGGCTATCGCCGGATACAGTTGGTGCTTCCGTCGCAGGCCCAGCGCGCCCTTGCGGTGGTGCCTGCTGCCGCAGCGACAAGAAATGGCATGGCACTGACGCGGCGCTTTTCGGAAGTGGCAGGAGGCCCAGACGGAAGGGCATGGGCGCGAGGCTTGAACTTGGAATGCTTGAAAACAAACTCATTCTTGCAACTTAGCAGTGCGCTCAGGACTTTTCAGACAACATTGCTGAGCTGCGTACTTACCAGTGCGGAGAGAGCTGTGAATTGCTCGTAACTCATGTGATTCGCACAGCAGCCCATGTTCACCCAGTGTAAAGAATCCACGCCTTGATTTCGTGGTCCAAAGTGGTCGTCACTTGCTGTGCCACACCAAATGCTACCTGCCCGCTGAGGTTTACAACGATTTGCGGGCTCTTCCTTGCCGCTGTAATTGGTCTCCTGGGTGGAGCCCTGAGCGTGGCGACTCGAGGACGGGAGGTGGAACGAGGGTCGCGTGGCGACTCGAGGATTTTGTGCTGCTGCGCTATGGCACAACTACGGCTGGGCCTAGCACTCGGCACTCGACGCCGCCAAGAAGATCCCCCTGTTCGTCTTTTTGAGGCTGCTGGGCTCTTTGCTTTCGGTGCTGCCAACTCGGTGCTCCTGGGCCTGGGGGGAGAGAAGCGGAAGATCTCCTCACAGCGGTGCTCCTTGCGAGGTGCTCTTGCGGAACTACTCGCGCTTGCACCTTCCGCACGTCCGACGCCGCCTGGAACATCGACTTAAAGAGCTGCGAAGCTCTCAGAAGAGAGGTCCAAAGCCCCAAAGACTTGGAGCAAAGCGCGCCTGTCTCTAGGTCGCAGCAAAAGGATTCCTTGATAAGAGATGTTCAACAGGCAGGGGTCAGCGGCTCAATGCAACTCAGTGTCTGCAGCCATTGACCTGAGAGGTCCAGCACGCCTCTCGCAAGACAGGGGTGGCTGGGACCTTGGCGTGGGTGAATGGGAACATGTAAATCGTCAAAGCTGAAGGTGCAGGTGCGGGCCCACATATTCTTGCAGAGCGTCAACGTGATCCGCAACATCGATTATTTGACTCGCTGCATCAAGACGGAGGCACATGCAAATGGATCTGTGGCCACATTGTAGTAATGTTGCATCAGTCCAGACGTTGGACGGTCGACGTGGTTTGCTGAAACCTGAAAGGCTAGAACACTTGAACGAATTAGGAACGCAAAGGGGGCAGAAGCTAAAGAAGCAGACTCACAGGTATGCAAAAGCCCAGGAACACCAGTCCTGTGTACAGAAGCGACAAGGTTGTTGAGGTGAAGGGTCTGTACATGCCTTTGCCAGGTTCAGCGCCTAGCTTCGGACCGCAACCCTCGCAAGGCTCAGTTGAGACGCCGGTGGCTGGCCTGAGAAAGGGGCCGGGACTTCTTGCTCTCAAGGGCTCAGTCGGGCAGTTCAGACAGCTACCGAATTGGAGCCACAGGAGTTTGTGATGAAGTTGGGATCTCTTCGGAGGTGGGAGGAAGGGACCCGAGTGGGCCAGCGACTTCTCGATAATGCCGGAAAAAAGAAGTCCGGTGATGGCGGTGTTTGTGATGAGATGCTACCGAGCGACGAGAAGACCGGACTGGGATCTTGAACCCGACATGACACCATGACGCCTGACATCCCCTTTCCTTCAGCCTAGTTACAGAGAGCGAGCCGCCTGGGCAACATCCGACCGTGATGCGGGTTCGCTCCAGTCTGGGACAGGGGGAGGTTTCATGTAACAGAGACCCGGTTGTGCGAGCGGTTTTTTGCGTCTCTTTTGTGTCTTTCCGAGGCTGGCTTCCAGTGGACTGCAGCTGCTGTGCGGGCCTCAACGATGCAAGACTGCGGCTTCTCTGCTTTCGCCGGTCTGGCCACGAGGTTGGCTTTGCTCCCCCACAGTCCACCGCAGTGGCAGCAGGAAGCCCTTGGAGGCTGCAGATGTCAAGAGGGAGGGAGGCAAGGATTCATACGGCCTTTCCTTCTTTCATACTTCAGGTGAGAACTGTGCTGAGTTGGCCTCCCTGCTCTACGCTCGCCGGAGAGGACCGCCGGACGAGTGGACGGAGAGGTTTCTTTCTTTGTGAGACCACGAGGACTGGCTCCGCCGGTGGCTTCGGAAGTCCTGTCCAGTGGATACATGGAATCTCGCAAGCGGCTCTGGTTGCGGCTCGGATCTGCAAGACATTTTGAATTTAGATGAGTGAAGTACATCGAAATGTATCTCGCCGTGGAGTAAATGTCTGCGTGTTCCACGAGGCTGTTCAGGATGGTTCACCTCAGCTCCGCCATCCCGACAGAGGTGGAAATATGACAAGGGCGTTACTCCTGTGCAGCTTGCTACCTGCAGTGGATCTTAGGTGCAGGGCAAGCTGACAGCCCTTGTTGACAGCTATTTGCGGCCAGTGCTCGCTGCAGACTGAGCCAGCCGATGCCAGTCTTGCGGTATTGCAGGATCAACGAATGCTCTGCAACGTGCTGCCCCCTAGCTTCCTAGGTCGAGCGCCGTGTTCCCACAGGCTATTGCCAAGTCCTCGCGAACCCTGCGAACAGCTCACATGCCCGGGCCTTACCCGGAGACGACGACGAGCTGCCCTTGAAAGCCCGTGCCGGTCACGATGGAGCTGAGGCCATGTTGGAAGACAGCAAGCGGGAAGGCGACCTTTGTAACTTGTAAAGCTTCCGTCAGCCTGCATGATCCGTTTGTCAGCCGGAGGTGAGGACTTGGGCGAGGCCGACAATGCAGTCAGTCAGTTGTTTCTGGCTGCCGGCTGCTGTTCGGAAGACTGCGAGATTCGCCTGCCAACCATACTCGTAGACTACAGACCGTGCAGGGTCAAATACCGTTCGGGCAGGATGCTCAGCAGCACGGATCCGCGAAAGGCGCGAGTGTGTCGAGCGCGCACGGGCTCGCTTGGACAGCAGCTTTGCCTTTTTTGGCTCCGTTTGCGCTTGGCTCGCTTTGCCAGGTGCTCGAAGCGTCGAAAGCGAGGACCAAACTGCGGAGAGCGAGGCTGGAAGCATTCGAGCAAACAGCAACTGGCTTTGCTGCGCCCAATGTCGGAAGGACACATTCTCGTTCTGTGCATCCACCGCATCTCAGTCCAAGATCTCCAGCACGTCTTGTGATCGCATGGGCGACACCTCGAAAGCAGTTCGCAAGCTCTTCGCGACACGGAGCGACATCATGCAGGTCTTGAAACGACTTCCTCCACCGGCGCTGATGTCTCCGTCAGGTTCCACGACGCAGACAGACAGCATCCTTCGAGAAATCTTTACCTCGGTGGCTGTTGGCGTTGCGAAGGGCCAACAAGGCCAAAGCCAAGGCCAAGCGGGTGCGGCGGGTGCCGTCGGCCTGGCGATCGGCTACCAGTATGGTGAGAGGCCATACAACCTTTCCGGGCGAGTCCAGACCACGCTGGAGTTGAAGGTGGCCCTTCCACAGGCCCAAAGCCAAACTGGCTCCTCCTCCAGCGCTTCAGGCACACCCTTGGAGGTGAAAGTGCAGCTGCTCAGAAGGAATTAGAGGAAGCTCTGGGAAGCGGGGTTTCTCGGAGAACTTGGCAAATGCCGAGGCTCTGTCAACTGTCGGACTCCGAGCCCTCCGCCGTCGAGGCACTTGCGGCCTGGAGCGACCTCGCCGCCGCCGCTCGGCCGAGAGACCTCCGCACTCTGCTCCGCAGTCACTCTGAGTGCTCTCTCTCTCATCTGTGCTCTCTCGGCTGCTGCCCGGAGCGCCGCTTGAACGCCGCTCTCTGAGGCCCTCCCCCTGCGCTTCAACGACTCGGCCCTGAGGGTGCGCCGGAGGCACTTGAAGAAAGCCAAGGAAGCCCTGCGCTCACTCCCAAAAGGATAATGCCCCGCCACGCGGTGCAGAATTTGGCAGATCTCGCAGATTCTACGGGTTGTGCCATGTACAAATGTGGCCAAAGGTCAGCCACGTTGCACCCAGAGCTTACGGTTTGCACGGAGCTTGCAAGATAGTGCCTGACTGCAAGTCATGCCATTGCCAGCACGTCTGATTCCGTGTTAGCGGACCAAGCTCTGAAAAGCCTTGTGTGCGATGGGCACGAAGTTTCCGAAGCCTCCGATTTTTTCAATGCAAAGCTTGCAGATGCAGAATTCAAGCTAAATGTGGTCGCAGTTAAACAGAAGAGGGATGTACGACGAGAAGGTTTGAGCAAGTTATTGCTTTGTTGCAGCACATCCTATTCAACGTTTCAATCACAATGTCCTTAGCATGGGTACAGCCATGCTGTTCCTGGTTGACACGTGCAAGGTTCGATTGATGCTTGTGTCTATGCAAGCGATACAGTCGACGGTCGCAGATCAGACTGGCACATGCAAAATCAGTCGGAAAGAGGCATGACTGAAGAGAATCCAAGTTGCGCTGATTCGTTCTGCGGGCACCTTGAACCGACAAAGTTTCACTATTTCAGCCAGCAGCGCCAAAAGAGTCGAGTTGGTGCGCATTGTTAGTTTTGACATTACATAGATCATTGGAGGTGGCATAAAGAGGTCTTGTGTCGGCATCATCTGTGGCCGATTGACCACCATGATAAGGTCAAAGGTTTATTTCAAGCGTAATTAACTTTCTTCGGGGAAGTGCTCGCGAAGATCAACATGTAAGGCAACGGCCGCCACACCCCAGTGTCGTTGCGGCTCTATTGCACCCCGCGGAACAGCAAGCTTGCTACGAAAGTCGTCCGGGCTCGCAAGCCCATCCCATCTTTTTTGATTTATTCGGTGGCAGAGGCATCACGATGCACTGATCCAACTCCTATATAACCGATATCGCTGTGCGCTGCAAGGTCGAGCAAAGCTTCAAGTTTGTTTTCGCTGCTCTTCGTATCGGAATCCAGTTCGATCTGATCCGAAGTCTTTGATGGCAACGCGGTATTCGCTCATGCATCTATATTTTCTGCTAAAATCTTCAATACCAATCATCTGAATGCATGCGGTAGGCTGCTCAGTGGCTGGGTAGAGTTCCACTTGTGAGCGATCCCACAGCTTTGACGACACAAGTCATGCGCGAACTTTGCATGAGGCCGCATGCCCGCAAGGATGTCTTCCATGCCTGAAGACATGGCACCGGAGGAAGACCCTCAATGAGCTTCGAATGTGAAACAACGAATAACAACGCGTTGGTGCAAGAGCACGACCTCGGCGAACCTGCCATGTGCCTCACTATGTCTCTCAGGGCCTGCTTTTTGTATTGGAGATACTCCATCCATTCCGAACCCGGTATATATATCTCGGTACCAACCATGCGTGTGAGCTGACCTTCTGGCACCGTTCCAGGGGGGCACTTGTGGCCTGCAGGCAGTTTGAGGCCGCGGCAAGGTCGAATTACGAGCCCCAGTTGAATTTCAGAGATGAGCGCAACCGCTCGCTCGTTCAAAGCTCGCAAATCCTGTGGAGCGCAGACAGGCTCCATCTGCGTTTTGGAGTCTGCGGCGTGAACTCTTCCGCCAGCCACACCACCGGCCGCTATCCAGCTAACTTGTGAGCGCGAGGCTGCGCCGAGACAGTCGGGCGAAGCAGCGCCAGGGTCACGCCACCGCAGATCCCACGAAAAGACCCGACGTTGCCTTGACAGGACGTCGCCGAGCATCCTGCCCGGTCCACGCGGCTCGTGGCTGCTTGTGTCTTTGCTAAACGTGCGCCATCTCAGTAATGCTGGGTTGAAGCCTGGCAAGCGCGACCAGGACTTGGGCAACAATCGCACGCCTCATGCGCGTTGCCGCGGAGTGGGATACTCACGAGGCAGGATCGAGTTTAACCCCCTCCGGCTGATGGTTACATCAACGCCCCAGCTCAGTCCGCTTTGCTCGAAGCAGAGCCGTTTCTGCGGAAGTGCAAACACTGACCGGTGATGTGCATGGTGCTTCGCACCGATGCGAGGTCGGCTACAGCGGCAAAAAGGTCATCAGTTCATGCAGCAACAATCGCGTGCGGACAGTGCCACAAGGTCGATCTCAAGGAGGAGTTCCGCCATCCAGTGCCACACTGTAGGATTTGCGATCTAGTTTGTGCGAGAAGCCGTTCGGGGTGCTGGTGAAAGTGCTCACTCGCTTCTTGCACGCGGCGCATGTTGTTGGGCAGGGACACGGCATGACCGCGTGCAGAGCGTGGCAGCTCTTTCTGTCCTGCGCATGCTGTTGGCACGCCCGGGACAGGGCTCGCAAGGCCAGGCGATGGCCTCGAGGAGCATTTATCGCGGGAAGTCGGCCCGTGGGTGTTCCGAGATGCTGCACAAGCTCGAGGCGGAGGGTTTGGCTGCACCGAGCTCCAGGACGCAGACGACGAGCTTGCATCGGGCAAACTGTCGGAGCTCAGGGCAAGCGCGTCCCTAAACTCTGCCCACAAGCGCAAGTGCAGCGACCGGCAGCCCTGCGGCGGGCTCCAGCAGATGTCAGGGGACACCAGTGTAGTGTCGACTGCAAGTTGCAAGCCACCCCAAAGCGTAAGTCTGTTGGCAATGCCCCTCCCTTTAGCGATCACCGCCTGGGTTGCGCTTTCGTCCGGACTGTTGGCCGTCGCAGCCCAGCATGACCTTGCTGCCTCCCTCCTCCTCGCAGACTCTTCCCTTGAGCCGTCTCTTGCACGCCGAAATAATGTAGCGCGCAGTCGGCCTTGCTGATGTTCTTGACTACGGCACTGATGGCGGTGGTGGTCCAAACACACGGGATAAGCGATGTAGACTTTGCAGTTGGGGAATCTCCGTGGTCCTTGACGGGACTTGGGAATGCTTGGGTACCCGAGGGGGCTTCCTGAACGGACCCAAGCAACTGTTCCGAGGGCTGAGCTACAGGCTTAAGTTGCCCTGCTTGATAGTACCCGTGGTGACGTGCATGTCAGCTGTGATTCCCTTGTTACTGCGAAACAAATTTCGTAAGATTATTGGGCTCAGACTTTTGAGGACTCCAAGTCTGCATGCTGATGTTTGGTTAAAGGTTGCGGCGCACTTTGATAGGCGGGTTAGTCCCGTTTGGGTGCATTCCCATCTTCGTCTTAATGCCTTTCGCCAACAGTTTTGGAGTGACGTGGATTGGGCCGATTCGGCGAACTTCCATGCTGATTCAGCTGCAGAAGAAAGAGTCTAGTGGCTCAGTAGGCGCACCATGTACAGAACTTGGGGCGACAAACCGGTGGAGTGACAACGAATTGCTCTGAGTTCGAAAGCACCTAGTACCGCGAATAAGAACCATTTGGGACGTCACCCTCTTAACAACACCGCACGTTTTTGAGCCGAAACCAGCCACAAAACGCCAGTGTATGCATTGGTGTGTTAGATGCGGGCTGCAACTTCTTTCGATTCATAAGGCCAGGCTTAGCGAGCTGGCACGACTGGCACGACAACCGTGCCCATCATCCATGCTAGATGCTGCTAGATCTCGAGTGCACCGTCCGCATGACTTCCTCTTCGTTAGTTCACATGCTGGTTGGTTATGTCGATGTGGTTTGCATCTGAAGAGAAACGCGGCATGGGCGAGGGCCGAGAGCGGCGGTGTTTTCTTTTTGAGTTTCGTTCAGATTGCTTTGCCACGTTGTCCATTACATCAAAAAGCGTAGTTGGCTTGGCCTTCTGGGTCTGCACTGGGACCGCCTGGCCTTGGAGGCCGGTGAAATCTGTGCGGGTAAAGCATGTGAAGTCAGGGAGTGACGGAATGAGTGAGCGAGGGTGTTGGTGAGTTGGTGGATGCATGGGAAGAACAGTAAAATTTTAGAGTAAATGCCGCGCAACCGGCCTTGTGAGTCCAGGCGAGTACCAGTCTTCATAAACCGATTACGTGGTGCAATGATGGACCTCTTCACCGACGTCCGGAGCGGCGCGGACCCTGTGCTCTATACGGCCAAAATACGCAATGGCCGTTCATGCCGGCTGGCGAGCGACGGCTGTGAAGGCGAGTCGACGAGGATGTCGCTCGGCAGCACGTGAGGAGATGATGCAGACCATGTCCCGCGCTTTGCGAGCAAGCGAACAAACACAAACCGGCCTCAGCTCTCCGATTCCCCGGAATTTCACATGCAAAAACAGTTAGCTAGGAGAAACAGCGGCGGCGCAATCAGCTTTACTCGAATCGTCTGCTGGCGCTCGTGCCACGCTCCAGCGGGGTGGGTATCGTTGCTGGACTGGGTGCGCCGGTCTGCCGTGAGCGACCCCCTTCACACTGAAACCCTCGCCGAGCGCAAACGCAGCGCAAGCGTGAACAGCCCTGCACGAAAGTAAATGCAGATGAGCTTTCTAGAGCTCGCCAACTTGGACCAACTGCCGTGGCAGCTGCGTCGCGGGAAACGGAGGTGCCCGCAAACATGGTCCCAGCCCTAGGCTTGACGAACCGTGTGGCGCTCTGCAGAGAGACGTGTCCGGAAACGACCGTGAATCAAGACTCGCTAAAAAACTCGCTCGTCTGCCCGCGCTCCAAGAATTGCAAAGCGCATGGCTGCTGTTGCTGTTGTGTGCGGCGCCGCGATGCAAATATCTTGTGCGCACCGTGCCGCCCAGCCTCACAGAGGAATTCGCCGCCTCGCACGACGCGGCGATCTCGCGATGCCTCGCCGTTCTTCTGGCGGGGGGCGAAAAACCTCTCGACCTCCCCTCCTTAAACCGCGAGCGCAGCTGTCCCTGCGAATGGGAGGTCTGGGTCTCCTCGGCGAGAGAGCACAGGCAAGCGGCCTATTGAGCATCCTGGGCCGACACAGTCGGCGCGCTGAGAAAATGCCACCCCGGAATGCTCGCCAACCTCATGCGTCCCTTCATTCCCGGCACGCCGCCTAAGCCGAGCAAGCAGCACAGTCCTTGAGACTGCGTGGCTTCCAAGCACCAAGTTGGGCGGACCAGCTGGACGATAC